TGTGTGTGTGTGTGTGTGTGTGTGTGTGTGTGTGTGTGTGTGTGTACATATATAAGGGAGACCAAGCTTCCTGTCCTAGGGGTTAGACTGATCTATATATATATAAGTGGTTTTTCATGGGAAAAATGTAGATTTTGGTTTACTTTTTTTAATTTGGGATTTGTTTTTATCAGAAAAAAACAGGATCCCTGCTAATTACTCATCACAGGGTGTCAGGGAACATGAGATGAGGTCTCCAAGCTGCCTTTGAGCCAGACCAGTGCTTTGAGGGGACTGATGGAGTTATTTTGGACATTCCTGAGAAAGTCTGTTTAGTATTTTGGAAGGGGAATACCTCTTCTTCACACACACAAGGGATTAATCTGAGGGGAGAATGCAGCTTCTCACCCTCTTGAGCTGGGACAGGCTTGAGCTGGGAGGAGATTGGCTTGGCTGCCATATTGTCTGGACCTCATCATGGAGTTCTTATCTCACTGATGCTCAGATAATGTAGGCTATGGTAGCTCCTTGGCAGAGATCCAGGCCTGAACCAGACCACTTTGATGTCAATGCAAAGCCTGTCATTGATTGCCATGTGTTTTGGGTTCAGGTCTACGTTGACTTCTCTTTTTTGCTTTTATTTCCTTTAGATGCTGAGGAACAGCCCAGAGAGCTATACCAAAGGCTTAAGCCTGCATAAGAGATAGGTAGTAGAGCAAGGTCAGGGTTGAGGCACTATCACAGGCTGTGAGTGCAGGGCACTCTTGCAGGTACCCATCATACTCTGCTGGGGGAGTCCCTGTTCCCCCAAGCGCCACCAGGAGTGACCAGGAACAATGGTCACAAGCTGGCGGAGGGAAGGTTTAAGTTGGACACCAGGAAGCGCTACTTCACGGTCAGGGTGGCTAGGGTCTGGAACCAGCTTCCAAGTGAGGTGGTGCAGGCTCCCACCCTGGGGGTTTTTAAGAGGAGGTTGGATGACCACCTTACTGGGGGTCGTTTGACCCCAGTACTCTTTCCTGCCATGGCAGGGGGTCGGACTAGATGATCTGCTCAGGTCCCTTCTGACCCTAGAAACTATGAAACTATACCACTTTCTGGTTGAGCAACATAGAATTTTCCCATCCTGGGTGCTCTGTTCCCACAGGACACCATGGTGGTCCAGGCTGTAGCTGGTGCCTTCAAAAGATTATTTTACCTGGGCACTGTGCAGAGAGAAAAGAAGCTGTTAAAAGGCTAAATATGCTGACAATATTTGCAGGACCCAAGAGCTGCCTCTGTGACATGCTCTCTTGCATTGCCTTGTAGAGCTATTGCTGGCAAACCAGAGAGCTGTGTTGCAGAACCAGGACACTGAGAACATGGAGCACCTCAAGGTAGGTGTGAGACATTCCCCAGGAGTGCTGGTGATGGTGACAGAGTCTGGACACATGCGGCACATTTACCCTGGTGTAATTTACCTGTTTTGTACAGCAGTGTAAATTGCACCAGGATGCACATCAAACAAATGATCAGGTCTTGTGGGGTAGGCACTAGTAGCAGGTGACATTGTAGGGATCTATTTGTACTGAGCAAATGGTTCTCTCAGAGTAGCTGCGGACATATGAAATTTATACCAGTGTAGTTTTACCCTTGTTTTTTTCCAGGTAATTCTACAGCAGATTCAAGTCAGTCACACTGTTGTATGGTTGCATGCGAAGTGTTGGGTATAATGGAATAAATCCTGATTATACTGGCATAAACATTGTGAATCCAAGGCCAAAGTCAGTGGTGGGGGTAGGGGATGAGGGTACAGGGATGGAAGCAGGTGTAATCCCTGAAGAAATTCAAAAATAGTTGGGGAGACAAAGCATTAGAAGGCGACTCTTTCAGAGCCAAGAGATGCAGAGAGGGAGAGACAGGAGGGGTAGCTGGTGTCAAATTAGCAGGGAGGCTAGACTAGTCTGCGTAGCAACATGGAGAAAGGTTGTGAAAGGTTTTTAAAAGGTAGGGGGGGATTCTGAACAGGGTATTAGAGTTAGCTATCTTTGAGGGCTTTGTTTCTAAAGACAGAGGAGCAAAAATGACTTTGCTTCATATTAAGAGAACAACAAAATACAAGGTCAAGTCTTCATGAGACAGGGAACAACTACAGCAGTTATTTACTGCAGAGTTGCCTAAAAACATCTCAGTGTGTACATGTGCAGGGCTATTAGGCCACAGAAAACTAATTAAATCCGCCACAGGTTAGTACTTGTAAATACAAGTCCTATCTTGTGGCAGAGTTTTTTACTCTGCAGCAATGCGTGTGTAGATGCTATGCATCCTGGCAGGTAGCCCCGCACTGGAGCACACTCGTGCCCCAGCCAGCCCCTCTACAGCATGTTAAGCCAGGGTAGAGCAGCTCTGGACTGGCAGGCTGACACCCCCCCTGCCCCCCGGTCCCCTGCCAGCCAGGGCTGCTCTGACTTGGTTCAGTGTGTTGCAATCCTGGGTGCGTGTGTAAAGGCAGCTTTCAGGAACAATAAACTCCAGCATGATATGCACTAGAGTTTATTGCTGCACATTAACAGCATGTGTAGATGTGCCCACAGTGCAGTATGCATGGTGTGCGTGTGTGTAGTTGTTTTTTTTTGTGGTTGGCTGCATCTGAACACATTATGGCTGCTATTTCAGCAGCAGAGGAAGGCAACTCCTCTCTGATTAGTCCCTTTATGTGCTACAGTTTTTTAAACCAGTTTTGGAGCCGTGAAGTGACTCTAAACACAGTTCAGGCCTTGCGGTAGCATGTTTAGTGCAGTGACCAGGGCAGCGGAGTGTATTGACCCTACCAGCAGCTCAGGCTGCTCCATGGCTCTTCTTACAACAGGTCCAGCCCTCTGTTTTTGTGCCATGTGGACAGGACCCCAACTAGGCCTGTGTAATCAAGTTGGCAGGCCCTTCTTCCCCTTTGCTGTCCCTGTGGTAGGATCTTTCAGAGTACTTTCCCCTGCGTGCTTCTGGAGCTGCTCTAAGGACATGTTATACTTCAGACAAGCTCTCTTGTGCCTCTACTAAGACATGGTGGGATAACCGTGAAGATTTCCCAGCACATGCTGGTCTACACCCAGTTAAGTGGTGTGGCAGGTAGAGAGATGGACTGGGCCAGTTGTGATGTGGCTGCGAAGCATAAAGGCTGTAATAGGGGCACAGTTCCACCACTGTGAGGGGTTCTCTAACCAGGTCAGATGAGAGAGTTATACAGGCTGATAATAATTAGTTTGTGACTGTAGCAGTAGGGCTTTAAAGGCACAATTCAGAGAAAACAAGTCCTAACAGGCATGAGCTACCTACCCCATGCAGCAGGGCAAGTTGAGAATGTGGGGCTTGTACAAGGAAGTGGAGTAATATGTGCATCTGGAGGCATCACGCTGGAGAATGGGAAGGCCATATACAGGCACCAGGCTGGTTCAGGGGAAGGGAATGAGCTTATAGGGATGGCTGATTTCCAGAGACTTTCAGAGAAGCCTCATCTGCGTAAACAGAACATGTCCTTTGTGGAGAGCACCCTAATGCAGACTTCTTCAGTGCGACTGCTGATTTATCTGGGTGTTCTGCAGTTTCACTTGATGTTTTTTCAGGGGGTGCTGAATGAAACCCTTTGCTGTCCAAATGCAGTGTCTGAGATGGAGGCCTCTGTGATTTATAGGAGAGGCAAGGATGGGAAATGGCAACACAAACACAGGGCCCACATCGGAAACTGGGCTCAGCAGTCCCATGATTTATCTGTGCCGAATTCCGCTTCGCTGCTTCCCTCAGCTGCATTTTCAGTTATTTGTTTTAAACCATAGGATTGAGTTAGACAAACAAACCCAGCACCCACTCTCCCCTCCCTTCCTCTCGCACAATCACCATGGACTTGAAAGATGGCAAAAATGGGGGAGGAGGAGTGTTAGCCTCTCAGCATCAAAGTGGCTGGGCTAGACAATGCAAACCCAGCAGGATGGCATAGCTGCTTCACACCCGCACCCTGTGCTCCTCCAGAACTGTGCTGCCCTCTGCACCAGGAGGGGTCTGGATGCTGGATAAACTCCCTTCCCTTCTCTCAGCTTGAGCATGGTTTCCTTTAGTAGCTGCTAGATCAGGCTACAATGAATGTGACCTCTGGGGCTTGGTTTGCTTGAGTTTCTGGTAATCCTTTGCCCTCATTTCTGGCCTTGTGAAAGTGTGCGGAAGGAGTTTTCTCTTTCCTCAGTTTAGTTGCAGTCTAAAAGCATTCCTCAGTGACCTAGGCATTTTAGCTGCCACCATGTCTTGGGATCCACTGTACGTCTGAACTCGATGGAGAGTTTTATTTTAATTCTGAAATTAAACCAGTTGAACTGAACTTCTAGCTTTTTTTGTCTCACTTTCCCCCTCCCCTCTGTAAAAACACACGTCAGTAATGTGCATGGATGTGTGCGCGCATCTTCTGTGAAAACGCATTCTTCACTGGCTTCCTGAAGCAAAAACCCTTCTTAGCCTGTATCTTGAAATTAGTGGAAGGAGGCTTTTTAATGAATTGCAACTCCAGCAGCCCGTGCCTGTGAAACGCCACTTAAACCTCCTCAAAGTGTTTGTGAGAACATTGCAATAACAAAGTACTCTGTGCCTCTGAAGAATGCAGCGGGAACAAAAGCCACATCAACAGAGAAAGGACTAGGGAATACTAAATAGTTGACAGGAATTTTAATATAAAACTCTCTCTCTTCCTTGTTGCTTAGAGTTTTCAGGAAGCCCTCTGGCTTATCGTAAAGCGGCATACGGCACAGACGGGGGCTTGGGAGGTGAAAGGTGGCTTCCTGCCATTCTTCTCTGGAGCTGGGTTCCCATGGGCGGTCATGCCAGCTTCACTGTGGCTTGTTCCACAGTGTTGTGATACAAGGATTCTAGGATTACTGCTACTTTGGGGGATTTAATTTTCATGGGCTAACGGCGTGTTTAGAGTTTTCAATCATGAATCGCTTCAATGGACTCTGCAAAGTGTGCTCGGAGCCGAGATACAGACAGGTCTGTGTAACTGGAGTCAAACCTGAATGCAAGGGAATGTGTTTGGGTGGTTGTGGGGGTGTCTCCTGCAGTTAGGCAGAAGTGCTTGGCTGGGTTCTTTCCCACTTCTCTGCTTGTGAATGTGTGCATTTCCAGTGTTTGTTGCTAGGGTTAATTTGCCAACGATGTTATAGCAAATACAATTAAAACATTTTCCTAGTAGGTATCTGTGTCTCTGACAGATGGGCTTATCTATACAACGGGTTGGCTCCTCTAGTGTGGGAGAATTATCAGCCTGCCCTAATGATCTGAGTGTTAGTGCTCTCACTACTCTGCGTGCATTGTGCAAGCACTGAGCTGAGAAGTATCATCCCAATTTACCATTTATCAGCAGAAAGGAAGGCACAGCAGACTAAAGCCTCTGACATTTCAGTGTGGTCTCTTTGGAGAGTGCAAGTGCATTTGAAAGAAGCATTTCTAAAACTAGTTATGTTTGACAGTGACTTGGCTGTTACAAAAAATACTCAAGCACAGTAAAGGGAAGTCTCAAGTTTTGTCCGATCTGGTTTTCCACGGCTCTTTGTGATGGAGCAAATCTCTGCTCGCATAGTTTAAGCATGGCTGTGCGGGGGGAAGCTGTCTTGGACTTTCTGACTCCCATTTTGTCGGTGATGGGTTTCTCGGCCTGCTGCCAGACAGACCTATGTGGCACCTGGCTTCTTTGCTGAGGTCTCATGTTTACCTGGGATGATCTGAGGCTAGGGTTGCAATTTTGTGGGGGATTGTGTATGAGGCCTTTCAAAGCGATGAAATAGTTGCACAGTCTAGGTGGGAAAAAGAGACAGCAGAAGGAGTCCTGTTAGTTAAACATGCCCTATCCAGTCTGGGTTGGCTGAAGGGTGTTGCACAAGAACTCTCCTTTAGTTTGCAGGCAGCACTGGTTTGCTCTGACCCATGTCTTGGGCTATGTTAGTTCTTTTTCTCTCAAAGCCATTGGAATCTGAACACCCTTGACACCATATGACTGCACAGGTTTGGTATCTCTACCCTCCAGGTTACTGGTGTCATGTGCTACCCCTTGCCCCTGTTCCCACTTATCCCTTGGTTAGGGTTCATGCTGTCCCTCTTTGTCCACAGTGGCAAAAATAGTATTTCTAATTCACCACTGGGGGTAGCAGTGGCAAAAACTGTAAAGTACTAAAATAGGCAAGGCCTCCAGCATTTTTCCCGTGGTGTTGTAAAGACTCCAAGCAGGACTTTATTCAGTAGCAAAGCATCTGCAATTAGTAGTTATCTGCTGATTCTCCTGACGATGAGTGATGTAGAGGAGGTTTCAGCTCACACTCACAGCTGAGCTGGCTCTGCCAGCAGCCAGAGACAGAACTTGTCCGTACTGGTGAAACCCATGCATTTGACTAGCGGCTAGTCAGGATGCAACTTGGCAGGATTAGAAGGGGAGAAGGAGCCATTTTCATGTAGTTTCTCTTTTCTACTCTCAACCTGTCTAGAGGGGTTGCCACTAAGTGACATAAAACCCCCTTCTCCCCTCAAGGACTGAATACATCTGTTAACAACGATGCAATAGTGTACAGGATGAAAAGCAAACTCGGAAGCCCCTTAGAAGGATGCTGAGTGCTGTTTCTGGCCATGTGTCTGGTTTTAAGTGGCTGCTAGCAACACTTTTTCAGAACAAACCTCCCTCTTACTTTCCTGCCCTGTGGTCAGACTGAATGGGGGAGGTGATTCAAACCTGAACAACCCTGACAGCCTTTTATGTATCCACCACAGGCCAGAAATAAAAGGAAAAAATTACTCAAGGCAGAAGGACAGGGCCTATTCTTGGCAATGTTAGTGGGAGGACGTTTGTCTTTTGAAGTCTATTGCCATGCAAAGGACATTTTCAGATGTGGGGTACTGCATCCCAAAACATCTTCACTTTGCTATATATAAAGAAGATTGAACTAAATTTTCTTTCTTCAGCTGCTCACATGGGATTCCTCCATGGGATAATTCTTCCTTGTGGCTGTTTATTTTAAAAAATCAGATTAGTCAAGCATTTTTCCCCTTTTCTTTTCTGGAAAACTGGAAGCTTGATCAGCTTCTTTGATCTAAGTACTTATTATAAGAACTGTAACTCTGAGCTTTCACTGGAAGCTTACAATCAAGAATTAAAATTTACCTTATGAATAAATGCTCACAGCTTCCAGGGTCAGGATGGAGGGTGGTGTATGTAGTTTGATTTTTGCTTGCTCATGAAACAGCATTAATATGTTATCCATTTGCATAAAGACTCATTTAAGCCATGTCCTAGTTAATGTGCTTTTTTTCAGGGAGGACTTTTATAGTGACAGTTGCTTGTTGTCTCCATACAGTATGTGCAACCCTCTCCAGTTGGATAGAGAAGCACTGTATTATTGTAGGTGTTAAGTCCTGGGGCTGTGCATGGGTGAAGTGCTGAGTACTTGCTGATCATACCTGCTAGCTGTCTGCCCATTTAACCTGCTGACTCTGTTTTCAGATTACAATCCCTCGAGGAAGGGATGGGTTTGGCTTCACAATCTGCTGTGATTCTCCTGTCCGTGTGCAGGCTGTGGACTCTGGTAAGACACCCAACCATTCTTATGCACCTCTTATTACTGTAGTGATTTGAAAGGGATTTGCTGCTCCTTTTTGCTTCCTTGTGTTTGACTGTGCCTTTCAAGCTGCAGAGAATTCTCTTGTACTTTTATATGATCCCCTCTTTTTCTCTAATGAGGAGGTTGGCTGCCACCCACTGACTGCTCATATGGAAATTACAGAAAGCTTTTTGATTTTCAGTGTTTAATGAAAACTCTGAAAAAGCTGTTGCAAATGTATGTTTCCAGTACAAATTTCTGTTTTGACCAAAAAGCCACTTTTAAAAAGAACACATTTTAGGCCTCTTCTATTTGCGATTAGGGAGGACTGCTTTTGTTTTGAGCATTTATAGGTTACAAATTCAAGATTTGCTTCTGAATATTGTGAGAGCAGGAAACATACTTTGTAATGAAACCTATTTCATTAACTGTTATAGAAATCTAGATTGCTGCACCATGACTACCTATATACAGGAGAAACCAATCCACTTCCTTTGTTCTGTGTGCTTGGATGATCAGGGTATTTGGGTCTTGGGCAGACAAATGCAGGAGTGAGGAGGTGAAATGGCATCACCTTCCCAGCCTCTGGTGAGGGCAAAAAGGTGGAGCACAGCCTCTTGAAAGTGGAATATAACCTGTATCTTCTTCATGAAATTGCTGAGCACTGAGGGTTCAGAATCTGTGTAAACAGAGATCCAGATGTGTGCATCCAGTTGCTGGTGCAGGTGGGATTTAGAGGAACTGCACCCTGCCTACTATGTCTACTTTACATCGGGCCTTAGCCTGGATAGAGGCTGTTGTGCTAACTATCCACATCACAGACATTTTTTTCTTTCTGAAAAGCTCTATGCCTATACTGGTTAATGAAAGCCAGCTAGAACAACAGTAACTACTTCTAATGGAAATAATCAACATCTGAGAAGTCAACATGCCATTCATCATACAAAATGCTGTAGGCTGCCATTCATCTGAAACTTAATAGTTGAAGCAGGAATTTTCACCATCTGCTGCTTCACATATAACCTCCCATTCCTCAGCCTAGTAAAGCAGAAGTTGTGTGCCAACACCATGTGGCATCTGCAACATCCCAGTGATTTGTAACTGGACTTTGGACTGGAACAGCATGGAGCTGGCCCTACTGACACTACAAGATGATGTCCTCAGGACCGTGGATAGAGGCCATATCTCAGTGCTCATGCATTTTTGACTTCCCTGCAACTTTCAAAAGGGTTTACCACAGAGGCTGCTCACCTGCCTATAGAAATAAGTGAGATGGATAGCGTTGCCCTGCTGTGGCTCTCATTATTCTTCTTCAGAGAGGGGATGTGGGCAGCTGACTCCTCTTCCACAACAGCTGGCACCTGCAGGGGCCTAGGGGAATCAATCTCATCCCACTTTTTCTTCAACACCTGTATAGGTGCACCTGGGAATTAGAGCAATGCCATAGGCTCCAGTCCCAGCAATGTTTTGATAGCTTCCAGCTATCCCAAAGCCTCTATAACACACCGTAGTGGAGAGTGTCTGTTTGTCTCTTTGTAGTGGTTAGCCCGTGGAGAGAAATTTATGAGTTTCATCCTCCCTTTATGCTAAAGTGCTTAGATTCTTTAGTAATCCAGTATGGTGGTATTATAGATCCAGGGAGCTCAAAGTCACCCCTTCCTCCCCATCCAGGGATGCTGCTTTACACCTAAATGAGATCAATGTGTGACTGAAAAGAAAGTGAGCCTAATTCTACTTGAACAAGATGGAAAGAGAAAATGCTTGAAAGTGGCTGTCTGGTCTTTCCTGCTCATCGAGGGTACTTCCTCCATATCCAACACTGACATGAAGTGTTTGGATCTAGTTTTGCTTAGTACTGAACCTATGAGGCCAAGCCTTTTCAGTCATAAAGATGTCTTCTTCCAGCTCCAGTTTACTAGGAAGTATTCCTCCTTTGCCCCAGATGATGGCCTGGCCACAGGGGTTGAAGCATTGCCATTTCTTCTGGACCGAGATGAATGTGGTGCACAGTGCAGGTGCCAGGCAGAGAAGACAGTGTAGTAACCTTTTTCCTCAGACTCTGTTGGGTACCTGGTACAAGCAAAGGTGTCAACGTCTTGCTTGAAGAGGACAGCTGAAAGCTGAAAACATTTGACACCAATGGTCAAAGAGCCCAGAACTGGAACCCAAGTGGAGTGATTCTCTTTCAAAGGGGCTTGGGCACTCCTCCTCAGTCTAGTAACTTGTGTGTGCAGCTTTTTTTTTTTTTTTTTTTTTT